ATGTATTTTCTGTTCGGATTGTCCCCCTTCCCCCCCCACTTTCTTTTGCACAGCACCCGTGATGATCATCTGTTTTCTCATTGCATGTGTGTGTGTGTGTGTGTGTGTGTGTGTGTGTGTGTGTGTGTGTGTGTGTGTGTGTGTGCACCCTTGATTTTGCTTAGTTTCAACCAGTGCTTTTGTGGTGGCAACGAGTGCTGGGCAGCTGTTTGAGGTGTGGATAGACGAGAAGGACAAGAAGGAGAAGTATGCCAGACTTGTGTACGAGCTTCAAGATAAAAATGAGCCCTTCTGTGGAGTACAGGTAACTTGCGTTCTCGTCTCTTTCTGAGTGTTCCCAGCGAGAGCCCCCACTTGTGTTATGTTCCTGCTTGAAAAGGATGAGGTTGAAGTTATGAACCTACTGGTAAAAATAGCCAGGATCGTGCTGTCTTCGTAGCACAGACATAGCACCTGTGGGCCTACTGCTTAGTGCTTACTCTGCTAAATCCAAAAAAGACAGCAATACTACCTGTTCTTTTTTTCTTTTTTAAGTGCCTTTTGACCATGCCGAAGTGTTTTGCAGGCGCTGGGCAGTTGGGATCCTGAGCGGACATGATGTATTAGATATGTGGAAAACACTTTTTTTTTTGTTTTTGGGTTTATTTTTATTTTTTGTTTTTGCTAAACACTTTATGTATGCAGACTCAATGTGAAGTTGATTGTGAGAGAAATGAGCGAAATGTGTGCAGAATCAGGTAAGGACTGTTTTTACTTTTGGGTTTTAGGGTTTGGGTCGGTTTCAGGGCCATGAGGGATGAGCAGGAAGGGGGTTTTAATGACATCCCTCCCCCCCCCCCCCCCCTCCCCCCCTCCTACTCTGAAGAAGTCTTAAGTTTAGTTTTTCATACGCTCTCCGAACTCTTCAGAGCTCCCTAGTGTGATGCTTCAGGCCTTGGCGAGCACAAAAGGGGCCTCCCAAGAAGAATGTGTGGGGCGCTACCTGAAGGCCGCGGCAGGAAAAGCAAAGGCCATGCCTGGCATATCTGGGCAGAAACTGGACCCCAGCCCCTGTGACTAACCGGTAGGCCCAGCCTCAAAGTTATTTACTGAGGCCGGAACCTGGAATCAGGCTGGTGGGCAGTACGGACTGCCTACTGGGACCCAGACTCGGCCTCCAGACAGGACGAAAGAGAGGAGAACCAGGGGGGCAACAGGTTGGAGGCACTGGCTGCTTGCCATAGCTCTGCTAGAGAGCAGAGCGACCATGTGGCGCTCAGGAGCACTAGGGAGAGGAGTAGCCCTTGCGGTCAGCTTCTCAGCCAGTAGGGCAGCAATGGCTGGCTGTGCTGGAGGAGGAAGGGTGGCATTGGGTCAGGGTGGCGTTGGGTCAGGGTGATCAGGGAAGTGAGGACAGCATGGGGGGCTGGTGGTACCTACCCGGTGATGGCCGTGAATCACCCAAGTGGTCAGACTATGCACCATTGCTCGGTGAGTGGACAGGTGGGCAGTCGGTGTGTGTGTGTGTGTGTGTGTGTGTGTGTGTGTGTGTGTGTGTGTGTGTG